TCCTAAACTCGACCGAGCACTAAGTCGTCGTGTATAAGGGGGTAGAGATATGCAACCGTTGTATTACGCTTTTTTCTTTGTACGGTTGTCTCCCAATGTCAGAGAGGTGCTTTAGCATGACGTGACCTTAGCAGAAGAAAATTTATCACACGTTTTTGAAATGTGCTAGCTTGCTAGGGCCACTAGCCATTATTAGGTCTTTCACCTCCAGATTCGTTTGAATATTTGTTGCGTGGAAGAAGGGATGATGAACATTATTAACCATATGCTAGAAAATGAGCATGAAAACGAAATCTCGAAGTCGGTGACAAATAAGGTGGTGACAGCATGAACTGTGTGACAAGGATCCTCGTTACATCGTTTCCAGAAATGAAAAATGTCTGCAACACACATTTTCCACACGTAGTTGAAGCTCTTATACATATGAAAAGTGAGTTTTTAGTGCAACGTTCACATGGTCACCTAATTTTATTAATTTGGGTCTTAAAAAAACTGATATATCATAAATTTAAGAGTAATATTCTGTGTTATGGACCTACGAGGAATATTCCGTGTCTATTGATATATCAACAAGGGAAATGCTAGTAACATTCTCCTTTTTTTGCTTGATACGTGTCATTCTCCTTACATTTAAAATAATGTCATTAATATATTATACAAGTTAACTTTTGCTTTACAAGTTTATCACTATTAAATGTATTCAATTTATCCACATAAAAATTCACAACTTTCTTACCATCCTATTATTATTATTTTTAAATGTCAATTGTTTTTTTTTAAAGAAAATGTCTGTTTAAAAAAGAAGAAGAGGAAATATCCCCTCTTCTTTTTTAACACAAAGGACTTCTTCTTCTTTTTTCCTATATAAACCCTTTGTGTTATAAATTATAAATTAAAAAAAGGGACATTTCCTCTTAAAAGCATATATTTTTATATTAAAAAAATAATTAACGTTAGAAAAAAATTAATATGATGGTAAGAAACTTGTGAATTTTTTTTTGGATAAATTGAATACATTTAATAAGGGTAAACTTAGAAAGCAAAAGTCAGATTGTGTAATATATATTAATGACATTGTTTTAAGTGTAAAAAGAATAACACATGTCAAGGAAAAAAGAAAGAAGGTCCAAAGGAGAATGTTAGAGAGAAGGTTGCTAGTATTCCTCTATTATCAATTGGGTTGTGATTAGAGGTTTGTTTTTGTCTCCTTAACTTCGTTAACATAATTATTGTTCTCTTTAAAAATTGTTCTTAATTACATATGGATTACCCGGCACCTCTTTTTTGTTGCATGTTGAAAATTCAAATATTTCTTGTATAAGGAAACCTATTTGTATGCGTGTTTCTCTAGGAAGTAAGGGCTCGTTTAGGAGCGCTTCTGGAAGGGGTAAAAGCGCTTTTTGACAACCGAAAGTATTTCTGACAGTGTTTGGTAGAAAAGTTTAGAAGTGTTTTTGGGCCATATAAGCGTTTTCTGAAGAAAAAAAAACATACGCTCCCAACTGCTTTTTCAAGAAGCACTTCGATTTTTTATGAAATTTTCAACAACTTTATAATAAAAACGCTTATATTAGAAGTGTTTATGAGCAGAAGTGCTTCTTAGAGAAGCAGTCACAAACGAGCCTTAAGTCATTTTGTAACTTCAAAAACCACTTTTGTTTATTCTTTATCAACCACGCTATGGATGTTTATATGAAAACAACTTCTGACAATGACTCTTATTGTAACATAAATCTTGTGCTAGAATGTCTATTCAGTTAAAAGGAGCTCTTGGCCTTACCCTCCTTCAGCGAAGAAAATTCGTCACATTTGTGTTCTTAAAGATGTTAGGTAGGTAGCATTCGTAGAGTAATTGCTTCCTCGTGCAAAGTTTTGAGTTTGAGTCTTCCTAGCATTCGTATAGTGTATGTGAGTTTAGTATATGATTATCCATCTCAATAGTAAAGGTGCTCCACACAAAAAAGGTAGGTAGGGCTCTTTCATATAACTAGTTTTAATGTGTTCAAAAGGGTAACTTTTAAGTTCAAGTGTGAATGTACTACCGTCACATAGTATTATTAATTCACGTATAAGAACATAGATGAATAGTTTTACACTTTAAAATATAATACTAATAAAATATACGTATATTAACATATAAGTAAATTAATAACACTATTGATACAATCAACCTAAAAAATTTAAATATATGTATTAAATCACGGCTTGTATATATATATATACAGAGAGCTTCTATTGAGGGATCCCTCAAATAAGCTTATTTGAGGGACACCTCTTGTAGGTCCCACTCTGGATTGTATTTCACTAATCCAAACCGTCTATTTTGTACATACTCATTCAAAGTGCATATATATATATATATATATATATGCACTTGAATTGTACACGGAACTAATTCCCATGCCAAAACAAATGGCCGGAAGGAGGGCTTCAATCACTTTCAAGCCAACCATGCAAAGTTGTGAAAGGGATGAGGCAGAGAAGAGAGGAAGAAGCAAAATCAAATTTGCAACTTGGTATCCGAATTAAGTCGATCGTGTTTTCAAACCAATTCTCGTATGCAATATTTTGTGGTCTTCAATTTGATTTGTTTGGCGTGTGCCATCAAACGTGCGGCGCTGCTATTGTTGGTTAGCTTTCTCAAGTCCTATCAAGTAACTGTCGCTACAGGTTCTTTTCCCATGCCTTTATCTAAACACAGCCACCACCACTTTAAATAATCATGCAATAATTCAGAGAGGAACAGCCGCCGTCCTTATTCATGTGTTGATTACATGCTGTGCAACTACATATGTACATGGTCCATCGATGTCAATAGTTTCTTTTCTTTTCTTTTCTTTTTGGTTGAAGATTT